ATATATATACAACATTTAGAATATATATAATTATTGTGCATTATACAAAACAGTATTTGTGATCTATTTAACCTGTCAGCCTGGACAACATTGCCAGATAGTCTATATGCGAGTCAATCACCCCTGATTAGTTCTCCACTTTTCGTTTTCTAAGTTCATATAAACCAGATATTAAATTCGTGCACGTCAAATTTCTAGTGCCACTCGCTGAAGGACACGGAGAATCAACATGTTTTCGTGCACCGCTCGCCATTTGAGCATACCAAAAAGTTTGTTAAACGTAGGTAGTATTTATTACACTATAGCACACATATGTTGTGAATGTTATACAATATGCTATGCGCTATGTTGCAGGTACTAGATTGTGTGGCATAGTGTATATATGGTATATATTTAACGTACGCTGACTATTGGGAGAGGTTATATGGGTTATTATGGGATTTGTAGTGAGAAGGAAAGGAAGCTATATAATTAATTTGGACTAGGATATTCGCAGAATGGATTTATACAAACGAAATTTCAGAACCATTTTGTTCGTAACACGGCTGTGCCTTGTAGAGTATATTGACAGGCTACTTGTATAAGGTGATCATATTAGAGAATATGACAGAGGGGAGAGAGAAAGAGGGAGATAGCGAGAGACAGAGAGTGCGAGGGCGAGCGAGCGACAGAGAGGTGGGAAAGCGAGAACGAACAAACGAGCGAGAGAGGGAGAGAGATAGATAGACATGCAGAGAGAGAGAGAGAGAGAGAGAGAGAGAGAGAGAGAGAGAGAGAGAGAGAGAGAGAGAGAGAGAGAGACAGGGAGAGAGAGAGAGAGTGCGAGAGCGAGCGAGCGACAGAGAAAGAGAGGGGGAATGCGAGAGAGGGGGAAGGCGAGGGAGGGAGAAGGCGAGAGAGGGGGAAGGCGAGGGAGGGGGAGAGATAGATAGATATATACGCAGAGAGAGAGAGAGAGAGAGAGAGAGCGCGCGACAGAAATATGGAGACAGAGAGGGTGAGAGAGAGCGAGAGTGGGGGAAAGTGAGAGCGAACGAGCGAACGAGAGAACGAGAGAGGTGTAGATAGGCATGACGTGAGAGGGAGAGAAAGAGAGAGGGGTAGAGCGAGAGAGAGAGAGAGAGAGCGCGCGACAGAAATATGGAGACAGAGAGGGTGAGAGAGAGCGAGAGTGGGGGAAAGTGAGAGCGAACGAGCGAACGAGAGAACGAGAGAGGTGTAGATAGATAGGCAAGACGTGAGAGGGAGAGAAAGAGAGAGGGGTAGAGCGAGAGAGAGAGAGAGAGAG